AACTAGTGAACTTATCTCTTGGCTCATGCCAACGATACCACGCTAAGGCTACCCCATCGAAGCTAACCACCGAGACCACTAACTTCTCTTCGTCAGTGAGTTTATGAATCTCAAAGTACCTTTCAGCATGAAATAACCAAGAATCGGGGTCCAAACCAGTGAATATAGGCATTTCGACTTTTTTGAACTTACTTCGGTCATATCCTTGGTCGTGGTTCTGGTTCCCTCCGATCATTTCCGCCGTCTGTTTGTTCTTCAACATCGACGATTCTCCCAGTTGCGAAACCGACGAAGTCGGCCCTCCGATAATTTCGGCCATGAATGCTTCCAGCATCAGCTGTGTTTTGCCGCTTGCCTTCTGTTGTTCATCGAACTTCACACACAAGGTTGCGATTGCCCCCTTAATGTCGACGATTTCCCTCTCAGTCGCTTCACACCGTGTTTCAAGTTCCTTCACCGTCATCTTCTCTCAGTTTTCCCTGGCACCGAACTTATTCCGATACCAATTAGTGAGGTATTTCCTCACTCTTTGATTGAATCTCAAGCAAAAGCCCGTAGGCAATACAGAAACACCCCACCTATTCGAGAGGGTGGGTAAGCTCTCCTTCTACCTCCTTACAGTACTCACCAAAAACAAGCATAATCCCCAACATTCCCTAACCTCCTTCTATATCTACTCGGCCCTCACTCCCACGCTGATACCTGGGCCCCACAACCTAAAACGATTATTCCTCCCCTCTACCTGAGTACAATTCCTTCCTAGCTCCTCCTAGTATATTTGTTAACTATTGGTGGCCTAACACTATCATGCTTACAAATTAAATGGATTGGTAACTTAATCTTCTTCGGAATTTTTAAATATTTCTTTCAATAATGCTCTACTTATACTACCTTTTTCCTTTCCTCCTTTCTGTAACTAATTTTGTCTGCTATAAATGTTGATTAATCAATATTTTAAAAGAAACACACATGGTAGAAACATTAAAGTGGATGACATGATATGCAAAGACCAAAGTAATAAAAAAAAAAAATAATTGTATAGAGATTGTTACCTTATCAAAAGTACACATGCTCCATATGTAACTGAAATCTGAGTAATGAATTCAAACTTTTCTACTGGTAGAGCTCAGCATTCTTTACTCAGCGCATCTGCAATTACATTCCTAGCTTCATTGCACAATGTTTCTGGATCCCCTTCCACCAAAACTTTGTGGACAATAACTTTGACAGATCCCACATTCAAGATGCCTTCAAAACCTGATGGCATAATGCTACCAGTTCCGACAAGTGTAATGGGTACAACAGGCACTTTGGTCTTTGCTGCAACACTGAATGCTCCTTTCTACAAATCAACACTTTTGTTTCAATAGAAGACATTTAATTAAAAAACTATACATACAAATGAACAGATACTTTTATACTTTCTAACCATTCAAATACAATTTCCTCTCAAGCACCTTATTTAACTTCAAAGATACAGAAAACTTTCTACGGAATTCAATATGGTGAAAGTAAAATGGTAAACAGAAAGTTAACCACACTAGAAAACTGCAAAGCAACCAATACAAATAATATAATAGAAAGCAGCAAAGCAAGAAGACAATTAAAACGGTGAAACAGTTTATTTTAATGCTCTAACTTCAGTATTGAATGGGATTGGTACTACCATTTAAAATAATTGTGTATTTCCAAGTCGAGTAAACCACACTAGCTTGTGAAGAAAATATGAATTCCATACATCTGTTCGTGTCTACCAAAAATCAACACTAGTGTCCCCAACCTGCAATGGTTTGAAATATGATGCCTCTTACCTTGAAAGCACCTAATTTTCCATCTTTACTACGTGTTCCTTCGGGAAAGAAAAATACAGATGCACCCTTCCTTATAAGCTCCATGCATCGCTTCAGACAGTCCTTCATTAAAAAATTAACAAACTTTGATACAATAACCTAACAATATAATTCTTAACCATATAAAAAATTCCACTAATTTACACAATTCAAATTTGTCTCCTAAATGATAAACTGTGCAAAATCCACACAGATAATGGAAGAAAGTACCAACTGGCTTCTGCTATCCATGCGCTTCAAAGGAATGACGCCCATCATAAACATAGCCCAACCAATAATGGGAAAGAGAAATATTGTAGTCTTGCTAATGAACTTAAAGCTTCTGCCAAGAGTAAGAAGTGTATATATGTCTAGAAAGCTCTGATGGTTGGAAACATACACAGCAGGAGAGTTTGGAGAGGGCAAATTCTCCAACCCTTCATATTTGATCCTAAAAAATGGAGCAATAGACAAAGTTGCCCACATTTTAGCAATTGTATAATGAATTCTTCTGCGGTATCTATCCATCAACAACACAACTGGATGTGCCACCAGCATAAGCATAAAGAGAAAAATAGCAGTGATTGCAGTAGTAGCATAAAAGCACATTCCTCTGACTTTTGAGCCCAATGGTACTTCTGCACTTTAGGTAGTTGAAAAGAAACAAAGTAAATTTGGAATTAGACATATAAGATAACATGTTAAAAGAAAAAAAAAAGGAGAGAAAAAAAAAACAATATTCATCCAAGAGAGACCTGATAATGGATAATCAGCTTCATGAATTCCCATTTTTGCAAGTTCAGACCTAACAATAATGTGCCGGGGTACTCTTTTTCCACTAAGCAGTTTATTGTGCCAAGGGTTGTATAGATTCTCGTTTGGAGTAGGATAACACCAAGAGACACCAGCATATTTTCGGATGATAGATGAGAAGCAATGATGTTGAGCTGTAGGATATCAAGAGAAATGTCAAAGCCTTAGCTATAACTAACTTTATTTTTTTTAGATCAAGAAACTATTTCATTGATATATGAAAGCTATAACTAACTTTCTATTAGAAAAAAAAAACGAAAGCATAATGTTAATCAACCCAGTACTGCTTTCAAGTTTCAACACATTTTCTCACAAACAAGTTATGTATGAAGCATTTCATAAAATAGTTGTGTCAAAATAACATGCTTTTGAGTTCTGCAGCTGTGTCAAAAGAAGTTGTTTTTTCCTTAAAAGGAAATTCATGCTGAAGCATTATGAATTCAAGTACATGTACATCCAGAGCTGTTTACTAACACCCAGTGGTTTCCTAATGACAAAGTCAAGAAGTATAGAATCTTTTTGCATGGTTGAGAATCAGCAGGTGATCAAAATAAAATGAAGAAAATTGCATATAGAACACTCGATAAACAATAATTGTGCGCAATTTCTTCATAACATGTCATATTTCTGATAATCCTAGTCATTAACTAGTAAATGAACAAGGAAGGTTTAGACATGAACAGTTGCACAAGGTTTAATACATTCCACTTCACAAGCAAACATGCTATAGGCAAAAATTTTGTTTTATAAACTCTGCGTCTGGCCTAAGATGAAAAAACCGAATATTTGGCAAACACATGATATAGCATGAATCATTATACAATATTGGACAGGTCATAAATTTCTGTTTGTCTAGGCAACCTACATGCTGCTAAAATCCCAAAAAAACAAAAGGTAGTGGAAACTACTGAGCACTCAAAAAGTGTCAGGTTACAGTTAAGTTATTTGAGAGAACAAATTAATTAGAAGAAGATTTCTTAGCAAAGAATAACTTACCAACATTTCTCAAATTTGCTCGTTGATGTAGAGAGACACAATACTGAAGACCCATAAATGCATTCATCTGCAATTAAAGTGGTAATTAACGTTCTCACTAACAAAATAAATGCATACTAGCGTTTCTTGTAATTGCCCTTGGGGCCTTTTGTATAGA